CATAGTCCCTCCATGGTGTCCTGGTCCTCCTGCTGGTGGGACGTCCCTCAGAGGGAGGTGTCCAGCAGATAAAGATGATCCTCCTCAGCTGACTCCTCTGGAGGAGAAGCAGCTCTACTCTGACCCTCTCTCTGAGGGAGAGCCCAGCAGCCCTGCAGAGGGCGCCTGGATCCAGGATCTGGTTCTTTGGGTCCTGGTCCAGATTAGTGACCGTAGGTAAGGTTAATGACCGTAGGTTAGGTTAGGAACGTAGACGGACCGCTAAATCAGAGCTTTGCCTTCTCTCCCAGCAGATGGAGCAGCGTCTGGATTATAGCAGCAGCACCGATCCATCTGTGGATCTCCACCTCCATGCCTTCTCCAGATCCATGAAGACCGGTTGGACCCTGTAGAGAGTAGAACTAGACTCTGTTCCTCAGTCAGAACCTGTCCTCATAATCTACCGTTGGAGCGACTCCCGGTTCAAACAGACTGCAAGTAACACACACACACAAAGTACATTTTAGAGATATATATTAGTTTCCTGATCATTTTTATGTCTTACTCCGGTGAGTTGCTGCTCTCATGTTTGAATTGATATTCCTTTTACATCAAATAACGGATATCCAGTAACTAAAACTCTCTATAACAGTTTGGTTAGGGTTTAATTAGCTTTCTCTGATATACGGTATCTTACCATAGCAAAACTTTCTATTTTTCTCTTATCTATAGATACTTTTCTTTAATGATGTGCTGCGTTAGAGATCTCTGAGGATTATCTAATATAAAACAGGCCTGTTTCCTCACCTTATAATATATAACCTCTGGAGAGTTTTTTATTATTATTATATTTTATTTTATATCACCGAAGGCGTCTAAGAAAATTTGTACTGGTTTCCACTCTGGTGTTTTCCAATCCACTGACTGTTTAACCATGGATGGTGGATGAGCAGGGAGACTGTAGATTTTTGTATTGCTCCAATAATTTGGTACCAAATTGTCAATAGTTACCATTTCTTCTCCAAATGAAATGCTGTAATAACAGGACTGTCCATATTCTGCACGTTTGTGAAGGTTACTACTCTGCTATCCCAGCATTGCTTAAGACACTGTAGGTGATTCTAATCTGACCCCTTTCCTACCCCCACCTTATATTTATATAAAGGGTTTATATAATCATATAAAATTTACTAATGATATTTAAATCAATACGATGTTGCTATCATTAAATACTTCAGTTTAGTCATTCAAGCTATCTCAGTCTAGCTTTTTATTATTCCTTCTTTTTTCTTAAATCTTCATCATTCCTTTTAAGCTGATTTATGAGGCTGAACTATTTACTGAGCTGTCTGCCTAAAACCTGTGAACTGCAGGGCTGCTAAAGAGCCTGCTGCATGCCCCACCTTCTGCTAAGATAAGGTCCTTTGTTATCTGGACTGGACAAATGGAGCTTTTAGACTTTACTTTTTTCCTTCTTTTTCTGGTTACCTAAAATATTTTTTCCATCCTTTTTGTGTTGTGACCCATGGGGGGCCATGAGTCAAAAGGGAGGACTAGGAAATGGATGGATAAAAAGTGGTTAACAGTTAATTTTTCTCAAATAGCAACAAAGTTTTGGGAAGATTGCTTAATTGGTGCAAGTCACAACATTTCTAAAGGATAGAAAATGATGGGCCAAGGAGTCACAAAAACAGTTGATGCTCCATTTCAACATCTAATGATAGATTTTATTGAACTTATCCACAGCCTCATCACCTCCCGTATTGATTATTGCAATTCTCTTCTTTTTGGCCTCCCTCCCTCATAAATCTCTCCATAAACTCCAACTTCTTCAGAACTCAGCAGCTCGTGTCATCACCAGAACCCCCTCCTTCCATCATATTT